GAAGAGACCCAAGACCACAGACCTTGTGTGTGGAGAAAGCAGCTCTGTCTGGTCTTCCACACAGAGCCCCACCCTTGGTTACCTTAGGAAGGGTCCATGTAGCTGATCTTACTGATTGCGGGCAGAGGCAAGCCCCACACCACCTCTCCTTGGGAGACAAACATGGTGCTGAGTCTTCCGTTCCGACTTGAATCCATAGTAGGCACGGGAGACGTGGATGTGGGGCAGGGGTGGGAACCTTTTGATCTGTAGATTGTATTAGTTGCCCTTGCTTCCATGGCTGCTGTATTGAACCATAGCCTCAGTTCTTGGTGCTGTAGGGTCTGGTAAGGGGTGAGGGGTGGGCAATGGTGAGAGTCCCCTGTCCTCCTACAGGTCCCAGGTCCTGACTCCCTTACTCTGGCAGATGACAGCACCCACAGTCTAGACTTTGTGTCCGAGCCCAGCCTGGATCTTCCAGACCACGGGCCTGGTGGTCTGCACCCTACTTATCCCCCTTCCCCGCCCCTCAATAACACGGATGCCTTCTCAGGTGCCTTACGCTCCCTGAGTCTCAAGGCTGCCAGCCGGCGGGGTGGGGACCACATGACCCTACAGCCACTGCGTTCTGAAGGTGGGCCCCCCACACCCCACCGTGGTCTCTTTGCTCCTCATGCACTGCCCAACCGAAATGGCAGCCTATCCTATGACAGCCTACTTAACCCTGGCTCACCCAGTGGCCATGCATGCCCCACACACTCCTCCGTTGGCATGGCCAGCTACCATTCACCCTACCTGCACCCTGGGCCATCAGATCCACCACGGCCCCCACCTCGCAGCTTCAGCCCTGTGCTGGGTCCCCGACCTAGGGAACCCTCTCCTGTGCGCTATGACAACCTGTCTCGGACCATCATGGCCTCTATCCAGGAGCGCAAGGACAGGGAAGAGCGTGAACGGCTGCTGCGCTCCCAGACTGACTCACTCTTTGGCGATTCTGGTGTCTATGACACACCCAGCTCCTACAGCCTGCAACAGGCCAGTGTGTTAACGGAAGGTCCCCGTGGCTCTGTGCTGCGCTATGGCTCCAGGGATGATCTCGTGGCTGGGCCTGGCTTTGGTGGTGCCCGCAATCCTGCCCTGCAGACGTCATTATCCTCACTGTCGAGCTCCATGAGTAGGGCACCGCGGACATCTTCTTCCTCCCTACAGGCTGATCAGGCCAACAACAATGCCCCAGGACCCCGGCCTGGCAGTGGTTCGCACAGGTCACCTGTCCGTCAGGGTCTGCCTTCCCCACCAAGCACTCCCCGATCGCCCTCTTACACGGGCTCCAAGGCTGTCGCCTTCATCCACACGGACCTCCCGGACCGGCCACCCTCACTGGCTATGCAAAGGTGGGTACCCAGAAGTGTAGATGGGTTTCTCCATGTAGGGCCCCTTATGATATAGTTCTCCCAACTCATCCTGGAGACCTATGGTTGTCTGCAGGGACAGTGCAAGGTGGGTGGGCCACCTGCCTTCAAGGCCCCTTAGTTACCCTGTTGTGGAAGGTCTGGCTCTGGGTACATTATGCATGTGGGAACAGGCACATTTGCATGCTGAGCTAGCACAGACTTGGTCCAGGGCCCTCACTGGAGCCAGCCATACATGGCTCTGTGGACTCCTACCTCCCCAGGTACATTGTCCCTCCCTGGTCTTGCAGTTTGCTCATCATGCTAAGACTGAGGGATATTGCCGAACCACAGCTGATATGTACGTGAGCATGCAGCCCCAGAGAGCAGGGGTCTTCCATGCTTAAAAATGGGGAAGGACAGGTAGGACCAGGCACCTGAGCATTGGTTTATTTTGGTCTCTGGTGAGGCCAGAGGAGACCCTGTCTAGGCTCTGTGACTACAAAGGACCCATGGGGCATGCCCATCTATGCAGGAGCCAGTTTGGTTTTCTCAGGAGTGGTGAGATGGGGAGACCAGCTCCAGAGTGCCCTCGGGAACAAGAGTCAGCTCTGGCCAGGTGCTGCCTCTCCTCTTCCTAGAGACAGTGGAGAAAGAGCTGGGAGTCCGCTACCGGGCTTCCCAACTTCAAGCCCAGTGTGCAGGGTAGGACCCACAGACTCAGGCTAGCTGCTCTTTGGCTGATTGAACTGGGAGAGAGTAAGGTACCCATGAGGATGCCAGCAGTCCTGGCAATGTCTGTCTGTCCTGTGATAGCACAGTCCTCTACGGCAAGGTCTGATTGCCCAGGGTCCAATCTGCATGTGTCCTATTGCCCACTGTCCTGTGCTCACTGTGTGTGCATGTTTTGATGCAGGGATCACCCTCAGCTGAAGACCCCCCCAAGTAAGCTTAACGGGCAGTCCCCAGGCGTGGTCCGTCTGGGACCTGCTGCCAGCCCTATGGGGCCCAACGCCAGCCCTGCCCGGCACACGCTGGTTAAGAAGGTGTCCGGCGTGGGTGGGACTACGTACGAGATCTCGGTGTAAGAACTGAGCACCACTCATCTGCTGGGATTCCACGGGGACCAGGACCCTCACAGTAGCTCCCCACCCCCGTCAACTTCTCTGCCCCAGGGCGAGGAGGCTACCCAAGCCTGGTGTGGATCAACAGGAAAGAAAGCCCCGCCTCCACAAGCTTGTGCTCCGGCCTCTACCTGTCCATCCACCTACCTACTCACAGGGCAGATGGATCCAAGGCTGTGGGCTGTCACAGGCACCTGGACTGCCTCCTCAATCAGCCAGTCTCAGCCCTGCCCCCTATTGCCCTCATTCCCCAAGGCCAGTCCTCGACAGTCCCATGGGCCCACTTCCTTTCTGGATGGGTTGCTGTAGCCCCGTGCTCCCAGCTGCTCCTAATCCATGGCCTTCCACTGACCTAGCTGGTAGCTTGTTGCTTGGCAAGGCCTGTGCTTTGCAGGGAGTGTAACCCTGGCCTGCTCTGGGTTGTGATGACGGATGGACAGATGGACAGATAACCCAGCTGTAGCAGGGGTCCCAGCTCCGTGTCCCTGTCTTGCCTGGCTGGTGGATTGATGTCCCTGTGTCTGTATGCCGTGCTACGTCTGATGTGTTAGCGCTCGGCTGCCACTGTTCTTTCATCAAAGCCTTAACTTCTGCTTTATGCTCTTGTGGGAGGTGATGGGGGATAGTAGGCCAGAGTGGGGAGGGACCGGGCGCTGCCCCCGGGACTGGTGGGGCCTGGAGCCCACTCCCTCCCTCTCAGGCCTACCCTGCCAAACTGGAGTGTTCTCACCCCAAAGCATACAGAGTTCCCAGCACTGGCTTGGCCAGTGCCGCTGGAAAGCGTATCAGGGGTCAGTTCTCCCCCTGGTGCCAGGGACCTGAGTAAGCACATGGCAGCGTCCGCTTGCATTGTCTGTTTTATGTTTTTATATTTACATCTATATATCTATAATTTTATTAAAAAAAGGAAAAATCATTTTGATCCTTTCCTTGGGCAAGGCTATGGCTATGGGTGTAGGGAGGGTGTCAGGAAAGGGGTTGGCCAGCTGGCATAGGATGGCACATTCCTCTTGGACATTTCTGATAGCGTGCCAAGTCAGGCCTAGTTGGTAAATGGGCCTTTGGCTGATGAGTGCAAAGGTCTCTAACCCCTGATTTGTGTCATACCAGACAGCAGGGTGTACGGGCACAGGCTAGGATCACAGCTGCCTCACAGGACTCTGAGGCAGGTGCAGTGGAGGGTGCCAACACCTGGCTGAGAGCCCTGCAGAAATTACTGTACTTTCTAGAAATCACTCGTTGGTGCTATATGCCGAGGGACAATTGGGGAGGGCCAGAAAGACACACTTTCCTGTGTTAGGCTTCAGAATAGGGCTGGAGAGGGCTGGGCTAGGTCCCCAGTACTTTGGGGAGGAATTTTCAGGGATGCCCAGGGGAGGTGTCCAGAGCCTAGGGCCCCATAGCTGTACCCCAAGCTGACCTCCACCTTTTTGCTTCTCTCTCACGGACATCGGCCCACAGGGGGCGAATTGGCACCTGTAGTCGTGGATGGGGGTGGCGTGGTCCGCCTAGGGGGACTCCTGGCCTGCACCTGTGCCACCTTGGCCATCCCGAGGATCACCCGCCGCTGCGGGCCCCCTGGAGCGTGGCCGCTGGGGCGCCCCCTCGTGGGACCATTTGTCGGCTACATTCTGCTGCATCCAGCCTTTTCCCCAGCCTCTCAGGTCCCTAGCAGGACACCAGTAGGTGGCTCAAGGGCCATGGACAACCTGCTGGGAATGCAGAAGACCAGGCTGCTGTAGAGCTTAGGGTGGGGCTGGATGTGGCCCGGGATCCCTGTCTGTTCCCTGTCAACCAGCCACATCTCGGCTCATCAGTCTGCCAGGGCCCATGACCCTGTGTCCAGGTGACCTCAGGAAATCCCCCCACCTGCTGCAGGGGTCCAGTGCCCCACTGGGGGTGGTCCCAGAGCTACTGGGAACCAGCATGACGTTCACCCCAGCCTCCCTATCCCTTCCAAGCACTTTAAGCCACTTCCTCTGGGGAGCCCAGGCCTCTGTGGATTGGGCTGGGGTGGGGGTCTCAGGTCATTGCAGGTTACTGCACCCCACCACTCCACCCCGAGCACATAACAGATGCCTTAAAGTCCTGGAGCTGCCAGCCAGCCTGATGGACCACAGACCTGGTCCATCCACCTCTGCCTCTTGCCTGCTCTGACCCCACCTGGGCCTCCTGTATTCAGGGTGATGCTCTGGGAACACCCCAGCCTGCAGGCCTGGATGCCCCTAGAAGGGCAGAACAGAACCCCTGCCAATTCCCCCTTTCGCACAGGGTTCTGTCCTGGGGTCCACTCTGGGCAGCAGCTCTGTGTCTCCCGTTTGGGGACTCAGAATCTACTAAGCTCTCTTCTGTTCTACAGGATTTTCCTCCCTCAACTACCCTAATAAATTTTTTTTGTGTGTTTACCTCCATGGCACTATCCAGCAATGTGAATCCCCTTACTTTAGCCTTGGAAAGTGCCAGGAGGCTGAACCCACAGGGACCCTGGGATGAGTTGCGGACAGCCCTGGCAGGGTGGACAAGACGGGGTGGATGGGTAAGCAGATTCAGGGCTCTGACAGCTGAGGTCCTCGGGAGGGCCTGGTCCAGAAGGTGAGCCCCACAGATGCCTTGCCTTGCCTAGCTGTAGCCTTTGGGGAAGACCATCCTGCCACACCCTCATGCTCCAGGGACACTTTGTGAGTGCAGATAGAACCCAATACTGGGATTTGAGGCAGGGGCCCCAACGCCAAACCCCAACGGCCAGACAAGCAGAGTGCCTTAGAAAGTTCCCAAACCTTTTCCCCTGCAAAACTCCAGTTTCCATGGAAACAAGCTTACATGCAAAGTGTGTCATGACTGTATGTCCAGCTGCAGGCCCAGCCCTCAGGACAAGCCCCTCCTCCACCCTTCTCTGCAGCTCCTGGTAGGGACTGTGTGCAGCAGTGCTGTAGGCAGGAACCAGTAAAGCCACCGGGCCCCTGGGGCAGCGCCAGCCACCTGGCCTCCTCCTTGCTGGGGCATCTGGGCCTCTGGCCTAGAAAGGCAGGAAGTCGTCCACCTCGAGGCGTAAGAAGGGGCCCAGTAGGGCCCTGAGCTTCCAGACAGCGGCTCGGCTCAGCAGGGGTGGCACCAACCCCTCGAAGGGTCCGGGGTCCACCACGTACACGTAGGCCGCTGTGCAGGCCAGCAGGGCACCCAGCAGCAGCCTCAAGGCCAGCAGCCTGCAGGTGGTGGCAATTAAGGGGTAGGGAATGCCCATGGGGATGATCCTGGGGGACTGGGCTCTGCCCAGAAAGTGACCTACCAGAGCTGGCCCTTTAGGCCCTCGGAACATCCCAGCTGTGGCCTGCCTTTCTGTCAGGGAGGGGGCTGGGTCAGAGCCTGTCCTCCGTACTTTGGGGGCCTTGGGGAAGGGCAGGTCCCTAGCCCTGAGGTGCCCACAATATATGTGAATTCCATCGTGGGTCAACCAGCTGTGCCCCTTTCCCCCTCCCTTTCCAAGAATGGTCTCTTGGAACCACTGGGCTTTAGCCCTGAGAGCTGGCCCCTGAAGTTCATTTCTCCGAATCTCCCTAGCGGTACCCTGATCGGGACTCTGGAATCCCAAGGGACAGGGTGGGGACTTACCTCCATGCACGCCATCTGCTGCTGCTTCCTAGCCTGAGCGCGGCAGTGGGCCCTCTCCCTGCGGGGAGTCACACTGTGAGGACCATGCAACTTTTGCCCCCAGCTGGCACCACCTCTTCTGTGGGACTGGAGATCAGAGAAGGGCCCACCCCATCCCGACCTGGTTCAGCCCGGGTCCCTGCATCACCCCAGAATCTCCAGCTGAATGTCTTCCATCTGATCTAGCACACCTCGGATGTCCTTTTTGAGGTTCTAGGAGAGAGAGGAAGTGAAGCTGGTCCTCTGTCCCTCCATTGTGCTGTACCCATTGCCTCTCATGGCAGTCATCCCTACCATGGCCCTTTGATGACCTACCAGGAGCCCGGTGGCCTGGTTGTTCAGAGCCATGTGGACCTCAGCCACACCGTCCCACACCTGGGGGCAGGGAATGGGAAGCCTGCGTCACATTCAAGGACACAGCAGGGGCTCCCTCCCACCGCCAGCCAAGCAGACACCTCAGTGATGGCCATCTTCTTTCTCTCAAAGGACAGCCGGATCTGTTGCAGCTCACTCTGGGTGGGGAGGAGCAGTGTGGGCCCAGGAACCTGCTCCCTGCTCCCCAGGCCAAGCCCCTCTCCCCAGGGCCCACCTGGGACTGCCGCACAAAGGACTCTTCCCCCTGACAGAGCTCTTGCGGCCGCAACAGCTGCACAGGTGCCCTGTCTTCCAGGGGCCGGGTGCTGGCTGACTCGGGGGACCGTGGGAAAGCCCCCAGGTCATGCCCCAGGCTGTGGACAGCTCGAGGTGCTGCTGCATGGGTCCGGGGCTGTGCACTCCCGCTTACCCAGGCCAGGGCTGTGCAGCCCGAGTGCTCGGCACACAGAGGCAGGAACTGCTGCCCTGGCCCCAGGAGGGCCCCCAGCTGCTCCCGAAGGTCCTGGTTCTGCCTTTTCTGGGGTCAAGGGACACAAAGAGAGGGTCACCTGTCCTGGTTGCTTCTCAGGCAGGAAGTCGAAGCAGGTGAGCTTGGGCAGGAGTGCCCGTCAGCCCATGTGATGCACTCACCAGGCTGTGGTTCTCCTGCTCCAGCTGTAGAAAGGATTGCTCTGCAGACTCCAGCGTCCCAGCCTGGAGCTGCGTGGGAGCTGTCCTAGGTGAGGCTGCGGCCCCTCCTCCGGGAGACAGGGTTGGACATGGGCAGGGCCTGGGTCCTAAGGTGGGGGATCCTGTCTGCCTAGGTGGCCCCTTTTCATGCTCTGGATGCAGGGGCCAGCTCCACTCTACCTCAGCCTCCACTTCTCGTCGGGACGCTGCTGTCTCTGGAGCTCTCTGCCGTTGCATCTCTCCTTCTTCACTTGACAGAAATATCCCAGGTGCCTCTCCTCCCACTCTGGGTCCCCCACATCCTGTCCCCGGAGCAGGGAAAGGTCTGGAAGACTCTAGTGACTGAGTGGACTGAAACGGGGGCAGACAGGACCACCTCACAAATCCCTGACAGGGCTGATCTAGACATTCTCCATGACTGTTTGAAACTGAGGCTGGGGGACACTGGGAATGAGAGTGTCCACAGGGCCCCAGGGGTTTTGACCCCTCCATTCCTCCCTGTGACCCCTTCCTGACCCCAGGTCCAGGCTCTTGCCTGGCTGACCTGCCACTCTCTTTCAGGGCACTTTAGATGTCACCCTGGCTCACAAATCTACCCAGAATGACAGTCACAAAGGCCTGGGTACAGCCAGGGAGGTCACAATGGGCTGGCGCTAAGGCTGAGGCAGAGGTGAGGCTAGTGGGCCACTCCTGCCCCAACCCCATTCTCATGGTCCCTGAAGCCCCTGCGACTATGTCTCTCCTCCGCGTGTGGAGGTATGTTCATGGTGCCCATCCATTCTCGGAAGGCTGTGCCCTGGAAGAAATCAAGTGTGACAAAAATGGCAGTTGTCCCCACCCCAAATTCAAGCCCCTCCACTGTGTGTTCCTGTCAGGATCTAGCTGATGTAAGGTGGGTGGGTTACATCGTCAAGGCCCCACCCCTTTGGTTATGCCCTCAGGTCCAGTCAGGTTGCCAATGACCTGCTCCTGAACCCCGGTTAGCCCGGCTTTACCATAGCATGCTCATGTCTATTTAAGAGTGGGAACAGCCAAGATGACAACACAAGGGTCTAGAGGCGTCTTACCCTGCCCAAGGTTGGGCTGGAAAGCCAGGCTGAGGATGCTCTCTGCTTCTACTCCATGAGCTTGCACACAGCCCTGAGCCTTGAGGGCCCGTTCCGACCCCAGAGGCCCTGACGTCCCATGCTGACAGATGTCTTGCTGCTCATAGTTCTGGGTGCTTGCTTGGTGGCTAAGTTGCATGTTTTGTTTATTAGCAATGCTGGGGATACAATCTAGGGTCTTGTACACACAAGGTAAACATTCCATTCTTGAGCTTCTCCCCAGCCTAGCTGGTTTTTTGGTTTTGTTTGTTTGTTTGTTTCTTTCTTTCTTTCTTTCTTTCTTGTTTTTTTTTTTTTTCTGAAACAAGGTTTCTGTGTAGCTTTGGAGCCTGTCTTGGAACTTGCACTGTAGACCAGGCTGGCCTCGAACTCACAGAGATCCACTTACCTCCACCTTCCGAGTCCTCCCAAGTGCTGGGATTAGAGGTGTGCACTATCACCGCCCGACCTTATTTTTTCATTTTAATAGTTAATATATCTTTATTGTGTGTATTTCTGTGTGTATGCTGTATGCACACGTGTGCAGATGCATTTAGGGGCCAGAAAATAGCAATGGAGTCCATGCAACTCGAGCTACAGGTGTTTGTGAGCCACCTGCTGCGGGTACTGTGAACTGAAGTCTGGTCTTTTGCAGGAGAAGGAACTGCTTTTAACTACCGAGCCATCTCTGCTGCCTCACGGATGTACACGATCTCACTGATTTAAGTCTCTTCTGCTTTTTCCACTTCTTAGGATCTCCCAGCAGATGTTGGGTTTCTCCTGTGTGTCTTTGGTATTTGTATGTCAATTCCTTCAAGTCTTAATTCTCTCTTTCTTTAAAACAAATATCGATTTTTTTTTGTGCGCATGCACATGCGTGGTTTATTTGTATTTTGGGTCTGTGTGTTTTGCCTGCTTGCATGTTCACGTGCATGCTTTGTGTCCATGGAGCCAGAGGAGGGAACAGAAGTGTTGTTTCAGAGTCTCTCACTGGGATTTGGAGCACACTGATTAGACCAGTCTAGCTGACCAGTCAATCCCGGCCACGTCTGCCCATCTCAGCCCCACTGCACTGGGATTACAGTGTGGGCCATCACACCTGGTCTTTACCGGTCTCCTCGGGCTCAGACTCAGGTTCTCAGGCTTTAGCCGGTCTCTCTCTTTACACACAGTCTTGTGTCATTTAATGATGGGGTATTTAATGATAATTTGGCATTCTGAGGTACACGTATGTAATCCTAGGCAGTGCCATTTCCTATGCACCGGGCCATGTGGGACCTGGGTGTGAAGCACTCACTGCTCCTTGAGTTGGCCTGAGGAAGGTGCAGAACGGACACTCAGCCTAGATGCCAGAGACTGTCACAGTGGAACTCAGCTGTGTTTTGCAGTAAATCCTTCTAAAACAAACACAAAGAGCACACTAAAACCGCAAAACATCTCATGGTAAATGCATAAGGGAGCATCATAGCCATTTATTGTGATTTCGAAGTGTTGGACACTGCACCTTGCATGTACTGCACTTGATGCTGCTGGCAGAACCATGGGTGCATTCTTGCCATTCCCACTACAAGCATGAGGGGTATGTTATGCCACAGTGCCGACAGCATAATTAGTTGATGTGAATTTTTCAATACCACCAAAATTTTTTAGCCGTGATGGGGACAGACCCAGGACTTTGCACATGATAGGCAAGCAGCTACCGCTGACTTGTGCTCCCAGTCCTTAATAGTATACATTCTTATGGGACCACATGTGGCCTGTAGTTGACCAAAGTGTTACATAGCATATAATGGTCTATTAAAAAATTTGAATTTCAATGGTCATATTTTTTAATTCCTGAGGTGTTACTGCTCATCCCTGGAGGCCTCTTCTTATTTTCAGAGTATCCTGTTCTCTTTTTCAGGGTACAGTGGTTTGGGGGAGATCCTGTTCTCTTTTCAGAGTACAGTGGTTTGGGGGAGATCTTGTTCTCTTTTAGGGTATAGTGGTTTGGGGGAGATCCTGTTCTCTTTTCAGGGTACAGTGGTTTGGGGGAGAACCTGTTCTCTTTTAGGGTACAGTGGTTTGGGGGAGATCCTGTTCTCTTTTAGGGTACAGTGGTTTGGGGGAGATCTTTTGCTGCCTACACTTTCCCTTTCCCCCTTGTGGTTCTTTGGTTTTACTTTCCTTTATGTTTGGTCTTGAGACTTCTCACTAGACATTATTCTATTATTCTTTTTGCTTGTTCGTTTTTTGGTTTTCAAGACAGGGTTTCTCTGTGTAACAGCCCTTGCTGTCCTAGAACTCGCTCTGCAGACCAGGCTGGCCTCAACCTCTCAGAGCTCTGCCTGCCTCTGCCTCCAAAGTGCTGGGATTAAAAGCGTGCGCCGCCACCACTTGGTGACACTATTCTGATAGAAACCCGTCTGGTTTTTCTTTCCTGTCTGTTTCTGAAGGGGCTGAGGAAGCTAATAGGTACTTTTCCTGTTAACTGCAGGGTGGTCCAGGTCTGCGGAGGAAAGCCTCTGGCCACACATCTCCCTGCTCCAGCTCTGGTGTCTGGAACGGAGACTTAGATCTAGAGAGTTCATCTAGGAAGTTCTATTGGCAGTCGCCATAATCAGTACTGGAGTACAGGCTCGCCCCAGTCAGTGCCCAGTCCCAGCATGTTGTGTCTCTGAGTTAGCTTTGCATCCCGTTTTCAGTTTGCTGCAGTCCCTTTGCAGATGCTTCCCATCCTGCTGTTTTGCAGACCTGGACTGGGTACCCAACAGAAACCTCTGAGACCTGTGGCAGAGGATGCAATGTGTACTACAGCACCAGCTCAGGCTGGGCCCAGCTGGCCACACAAGACACACCTTAGATCCATAGCAGCAGGCAGAGAATGGCAGTAGTGTAATGGGAAGGCCCCGAGTTGCCTCAGTGTGTCCCGGAGGGTGCTAGGTCTTCCAAGCCTGCTGTCTGTGCGTTCCTGTCTGGGATCTCATGGTTACCAGGATATGCTGGTCTCCAAGGTGGGAGCCTACGAAGGCCTGTGGATGGCATTGGGTGTGAAGTGGCTGTGGGTAGGGGTGAAGGGTGGCAGCAGCAAAGGCCCTGAGTAGCTGACATTCATTAACGGTGTCTTCGTACTCTCTTCTGTGTCTCCAACCTTGCAAATGCTCAGGATCCTCGGGGACTCTTGTCCTGTACTAGAGCAGCCTCACATAGGCTATAGGCTAGGCTTCTCAGGCTGCAACGCCAAGTGCCCAGGTTGGCTACAGCAGCTGGGCAGCCGTAATGAAAAATGCAGGGTACTTGAGCTGCTCTTCTGCGCTCCTGAGACCCTAGGGTACCCACCTTAACCTGGAAGCCCGCATCCTCAGATCACCTTACCTTTGTTTGAGCTCTGCCCTATCTGGAAGGTTGGTTTCTCTCAGAGCCAGTCCTGAAGACGCCGTCCCTGTCTCCACAGTCCTTGTACGGTCTTGAGTGTCCTGGGAGGTGGGGGAGTCTGGAAGGAGAGAAGAATCCTGGGTCTGCATCATGGCTGACTGCTTCTCGGAGCGTCAGCTGTACTAACTTGTGTTAATCAGCCTGCAAACTGATATGTGGGGTTGGCGTGAGGGTCTGTGTGGAGCCCAGACTCCATGCAGAAGGGCTGGGTCTACATTGGTAGGGGTCCTATATAGGTGCAGAGACTTCACAGCCACACAGAAAGTGTGGGAAACTAGTGTGTGTTGTTAGGAGCTAGAGTGGCCCTGGCCCCTGTTGCTAGGCAGCACACTTCCCTGGACACCAGTTGCCATGGCAGCCGCTTCATGCCCATGTTGCCATGACACCCAGATGGCCTTGAGGATCCTGGAGTGGTGGTAAGGGGCTAGCTACAGACACACTCACCCCCTCCTTGACTGGTACCTAGGGGATGCTAAAGAAAGAAGAGAGGGGAGAGACCGTGTTACCCACAGCTTCTTGCCTATAGCTGGCCTGGCATGAAGATAGGGGCCCCATGGTCTGATTTTGCTGTTCTCATCGTGGCCTTGACATTCAGTGTCCCTTGTTCATTTCAGGGCCTGAGTAACCTCAGAGTCACAGAATCAGCCACATCCCTGAGGTGTTCCCATCTCTGCTTTTTGGGGGTTTTGTTTTTTGTTCTTTGTGTTTGTTTGTCTTTTGTTTTTCTCTGTGTAGCCCGGACTGTCCTGGAACTACCTCTATAGATTAGGCTGGACTTGAACTTACCGAGATCCACCTGCCTCTGCCTCCTGAGTGCTGGACCTAAAGATGTGTGCCACCATACCCGGCCCATCTCTGTGCTCTTAACCCTGGCTTCTGGCCCAGTGCGTCCTCTCCGCTTGCAGCCTCAGAACACTGGAGGATCCTAGCAGACCCCAGATGAATGGACCTATGGGTTTTGGGACATTCCTGGAAAGGCCTTGGAACTGCCCTCTCTCACTTGGGACTCAGGCCGCTCCTGTTATCTCTTTCCCAGGACCTAGGGTGTGACCTAGGCATGAATTCTCCTTTGGTCTATTAGAGATGCAAGGTGACACTTGGCTGTGGCCTCAGGTCTCCCAGGCGTCCTTAGACTCATAACCACAGGGGCAGATGAGGGATGAAGTGGCCTGAGTGACCGAGTCAGAGGGCGGGGGCTGTTAGGCCTCTGCTCTGGCACGGTAGGCGTGTGCTTCTGAGAGTTATGTGACCTTTTCTGTCCTCCCCAGTCTGTGGAGGACGGGCTACAGAACAAGCTGGGAGTTGGGTCCTGGGACAGCGTGTGGGCCTTAGAATTAGTCATGTTGCTTCACACTTGTGTGTATCAGGATTGTGGAAGGCTAATGCAGGAGGATTGCCATAAGTTTGGGGCCAACCTAGGATACCCAGTGAGACCCTATCTCTATGTCTTATCCCCCCCCAAAGAGGGCGCTAGGTGGGCTGGGTCCTTGAGGCCCTTTTGGGGATCCCCATTTCATAGGCTAAAGCTCTGGGAGGGAAGGTACACCTGTGGCTGCCCAGGCTCTCATGTGGCTTTTGTGCTCTCAGGATGTGCGTAGTGACAAGCCATTTGCCTTTCTCCTCTGTGGTCACTCTTGGGACACTGTTGCTCATATCATGTTTGACTTTTGGTTTTTCGAGACAGGGTTTCTCTGTAGGTTTGGTGCCTGTCCTGGAACTAGATTAGGCTGGCCTCAAACTCACAGAGATCTGCCTGCCTCTGCCTCCCGAGTGCTGGGATTAAAGGCGTGCGCCACCACCGCCTGGCTGCTACTTCTGTTTTAAAATGTAAGAATCAGGAAGATAAGAGTGCTAAAGAAAGCCGCCCTGTGGGTGACACATCCTCAAGAGATTACCATCTTTCCAGGATGCTGAGGCGTCACGCTGGGAGGTGCCAGGCTGGCTGGCCACCGTGCTGCTGTGTTCCAGGAGCTTGCTGACTGAGCCAAGCGTGCCAGCCCTGCCCAGGCTGAGGGCCTCTCTCCTTACCGACGAGCCCCACCCCAATAGGGTCAGATCCCTTCTCATGTCACTTCTAGAAGGACAGTGGTGTCCAGAATGTCAGCATTAAGGGACTGCCTGGTGGTCAGTACCAAGTTCACCTTACTGGGATGGGACCAGATCTGGGTTCTTATCTCTTGTGTTCTGTCCTACCTGGCCCTCTTCCTGGTGGGTACTGGCCTGTCACTGCAGGTAACAGTGCCACACTAGGAACACCCAAGGGCTGTTTCTGCATCCAGACACCAGGACTCTTAGGTTAAAGTGGACTGTGGAGCAAATGATAGGTCACCTCAAGAGCTGTCCCCGTCCTCTCCCATACTAGTGGCCGGCAGAGGAAGAGTAGAGTGCAGTTCCTATGTTGGCCACCAGATGGCACCTCAACCCTGCAGACCAGGCACAGGAGCTTGGGGGCCCAATGCCTCAGGCAGAAGTAGGTGAAGAATGAATTCACCCTGGCTGAAATTTCTGCCAGGGAAGGGCAGAGCAGGGGCAAAGCTTCCACTTCCGCTTGTGTCTGTGGTTTCCACAACGGGTAGTCATGCTGTCACAACTCTCGCTGTTCTGAGGGTGTTCTTTTCCCTGCTTACTTTGAAGCAAATTACCCTAGGCTTTCCCAGCACTGTACAGGGGTTCCCCCATCTCTCCCATGGGCATCTCTGGATTGGTTTCTCCTTGTTACAGGGCAGTTAGAACTGGGATAAGGAATCTTGAAGCTATGTGAGCAGGGGAGCTCAGGGTGGCCCCAGCCATCAAGTCGGAATACCGTGATCTCACCTTGGCTGAGAATGGCCCAGGGACTCCGGACTGCTCTCCTTGCATGGACTTCTAGTGGGGTGGCGACCACCTACCAGGTGACGAGCACCTAAAACTGGAACTTTGCCATTGGTCTGGTTGGAGAACCTGGAGCTTGGGCCTGGAGTGAGCACAGTACTCAGGCTACGTCTGACGGCTTCAGGTGGACACATGTTTACTTTTGTGCTGGGGACGCGACTTTAGGGAGGAGAGTCCGTGTAGAGTTCAGAGTGTACCTGCCATTTTCCTGACCTTTAGCAGGACTTTCAGCCTTGGCTCTCTCAGTCCAGGTTACTAGGCTTGTCTGACATCCTTGGGCTCTGGGCAGGGCTCTACCTCAATCCACGGAGCCTTCCTGAGATGGGGGCTCCAGAGTACAAGTCAGGAGTGGAGCTGGAGAGCCCAGTTTTGTCTCCGGGTAGGATGTCCCTTTCATCCATAGACTATAGCATGCTTGTACCCTATGGAGTGGCGCTGTGGTAGCTCCTCGCCTCTGCATGTTCTGCGACCGGAAGTAGACAGCCGCTCAGGTAATGGAGGGGGGACACATTTGCTGGCATGGCCGGAAGTAGCCGCTCAGGTGATGGAGGGGGCACATTTGCTGGTGTGGCGCACTCAGCCCCTCAGAGTGGTAACTCCCTGTTGCACTCCCCACATGTTCTACCAAAAGGCCACCTGCCCACTATATAGGAGGAAGTCTTGCCTTGCTAACCAGAGTTCCTGCTCCAGGTAACTCCACTTTTGACTGAGTCTATCTAAATGGCCACAATGGGACACTGCTCGTAGAGCTGCCCTTCCTGCTATCCAGAGAGCAGACTGTCCATCCATGTTCTGGTCCTCTCCTCCTCAGGCCTCTTCAGGGCCTTCTCTCTATGCCCTGCTGTGTAAAGCTGGTTCTACTGAGCACTGCTGGCAAGTGTGTAAAGCTCACCCCTGAGTCGTGGAGCCAGCGAGAGCGGTGCCCACCCCTGCCGCAAGCTCTCTGGTGATCTGCAGACTTTTCTTCCATCCACCACACACCCACTTCCTCTCTCTCTCACACCTGGCCACTCCAGTGTGGGAGCACCCTCAGCAGCCCCTCAGTGGGAGCACTCTCACTGGGAGCACCTCAGCAGCCCCTCAGTGGGAGCACCTCAGCAGCCCCTCAGTGGGAGCACCTCAGCAGCCCCTCACTGAGAGCACCTCAGCAGCCCCTCACTGGGAGCACCTCAGCGGCCCCTCACTGGGAGCACCCTCAGCGGCCCCTCACTGGGAGCACCCTCAGCGGCCCCTCACTTATCTGACTTTGAGATGTTTGTGGACCAGGTGAGCCCCTGGGCCCTTTACCAAAAAAGATGAATTCTGGTTTCATGCTGTGCGTCCCTCTCCCACCTTCTAGGTTCCCCCTTTCTGGTCCCATTCTTGGCCACTCCCATTCACCCTGCTCACTGTCCTCCTCTTCAGTGTACTGTGCTCCTCCCTGCCGGCCCACCTCTGCCTGGAGCCCCAGCCTCACTTCCTCCAGCTCCTTGGGTTATAGCCCCTAAGAAGCTTCTGGGCCAGAGGCTTCAACCTTGTGTTTTGGAACATGGATTAAAAGCAAGTCCTCCTGCTACCCCCTCACAACCTTACCCAGTCAGCCAACTGAGGAGCCAGTCACCCTACCACATACCTACTCTATGGCTGGGGGCTGCACTGCCACTCAGGCTAGAAGCCACCAGGCCTCCCAGGAGGCAGCAACATCTTCTCACTGGAGTCTGTGTCACGGATAAAGGGCAGTATCGGCCCCTTGTCCATGTGCCAGAAGCTGCTTGCCATATGAGAGAGATGCTTAATTTATCTCAGGATTATAAACATGGTAATTTCTTGGAGATTCAATTACGTGTTTTCATTGTTACCCTGGTAATCAAGAAAACGATTTTTAATGATAGGCCGGGAGATAGTACCAATCTTGGAGGGAGGATGGGGCAGGCAGGTGATAAGGGACCAGAAGGACAATGTCTACAGGCAAGTGGGACCATGCTACCCCATGTACGGCAGTCCCCACAGTCATTCAGGTTCTCCGTCTCCCCACCTGCTTGTGAGCTCACCTCTGGAATACTTCAATCATCTATCTTTGGGAGCCTCTGCAGCAAACCAGGGGCTCCTCAGGGAGGGTCTTGGTCCTGTTCCCCCACCCCCAGTGATGTCTCAGCTCTAAATAACAGTGCCAGGATTAACATCGCTGGCAGCCAACAGTACCAGGTGATTGGAAAAGGGGTTTTATGGCCTCTTGGGTAAAATTGAACTTGCATCCGATGTGTGTTTCCAAGATGGGATTTTCCTCCCCGGCAAATGAAGCACGTTCCCACTAATTACAACAGCCGCTCCAGGTCACCCATCACACACGGTACACGTCTGAGGGTCAAGGCTGGGTCATCTACAGGAGCCCGAATCTGCTGCTGACCTTGCTGCTGGCTCTCAAGGAGGCGACCGTGCAGTCAGGAGAGGC